TGTGTGTGTTATGTGGTCTGTAGTGGCTGTGGTACGGTCTGTGGTGTTATTATGTTGTTGTGTTGTGGTGACTGTGTGAGGCTGCTGTGTGAGTGTGTGGGGCTGCTCGGGCGGCCTGTGGTTAGCCGTGGAGGCTGGTCTCTTTGAGCAACAGGGGGCCACGTACGACGTGGTCCACTGTCTATGTGTCCGTAGTCCCGAGCAGACTCTGAGGTGACTCCACCCCTCGCAGGCATTACACTTGACTGAGGTGGAGTTGTGGTGTAATCGTCTTCGGCATACACAGCAGGTGTATATTTCTGGCCNGATAGTAGTTCCAAGGGTAAGAATTCCGGATGTACTCAAGGAATTCCACAATGGTCCTAGTGGAGGGCACCTGGGAATCACGAAGACCCTGGAGAAGGTTAAGCAGAGGTTCTATTGGGTTGGTTGTCGGCAATCGGTCGCAGAGTGGATTGCTAACTGCGCGGAGTGTATTGCAGCTAAGGGACCGAAATCCAGAAGTCATGGCCAGATGAAGCAATATAACTCAGGCGAACCTTTCGAGCGGATTGCCATGGATGTAGCCGGTCCATTTCCTATGAGCGCACAGGGAAACAAATACGTCCTTGTGGTTATGAATTACTTTAGCAAATGGCCGGAGGTATTCCCGTTTCCAAACCAGGAAGCTAAAACAGTAGCGGAGGTATTCACCTACAATTGGGTTGCGAGATACGGTGTACCTATAGCGCACTCTGACCAGGGAAGAAATTTTGAATCGGCGGTGTTCCAAGAGATGTGCCAGATACTGGGTATCCGGAAAACTCGAACGACGGCTCTTCATCCCCAATCAGACGGCATGGTGGAACGGTTCAACCGAACCCTGGAAGAGCATTTGCGGAAGGTCGTGGACAAGAATCAGAAAGATTGGGATGTTCGCATACCCCTACTCCTGATGGGATACCGGTCAGCAGTGCATGAAGGTCGTGGACAAGAATAAGAAAGATTGGGATGTTCGCATACCCCTACTCCTGATGGGATACCGGTCAGCAGTGCATGAAACAACCGGTAAAACTCCTGCAAGGGTAATCTTCGGCAGTGAGCTCCGTTTGCCTAGTGACCTGAAGATTGGAGTAACTGGCGATGCAAGGAGAATTGGGAAAGAGACGTCCAACATCCTGGAAGAGGAGTTAAGAGAAATGCATGATCTTGTGAGACAGCGAACTCAAATTATGAGGGACAAGATGAAGGCCAGGTATGATAAGGCAATGAACTCCGAGGGTTTCAAAGAGGGAGACTTAGTGTTGCTGTACAATCCACAACGGAAGAAAGGTTTGTCCCCAAAACTACAATGCAACTGGGAAGGTCCGTATAAGGTCGTCAAACGGCTGAATGACGTAGTGTATCGAATCCAGACCGTTGGGAGACCAAGAAACAAGATGAAGTTGATGCTTTTGGAAAGGCTTACAGCGT